TTTTCACTATTTAGAGGAAGATTCTAAGAATTTAGAAAGTAACCTTTTTGCTTAAAGACATGTTTTTATTTAAAAAATTACAAATTTACCCAAAAATATGGTAGTTTCTTTTAACAAATTTTTGAGAATTGTCTAACACATTCTGTGAGTATAGAATAGAGCATGGCTACATCGTCCCTTCGAATTCTGGTCAAACTTCCGTTCGCAATCCCGAACATAACATGATCGACAACTCCTCCGAAAGAATGTATCGTTATAACGACATCGTTGGATTCTCCTGCCATCGCGGCTACAAGTTTCGCAGTAATCATAATCTGACGGAATTCAAGCTGCAATGTTCCGCAAACGGCACCTGGACAGGCTTTGTTCCCGACTGCGTTCCGCGCACGTGTCCCTGGCCGGATCGCGTGGCAGACGCGAGAATTTTCCTCAAGAAACGGGATAACATCACGGTTGAAATTCCGATGGAAGAAGACGCTACATGGAAACCCGATCGAAGAAGTAATGAGAGCGACGCGGAGAGCGAGATTTCTCCGGAAACGTTCGTTTCCGGTACAGAAATCGTTATTGCCTGTGATCTAGGATATGAACTAGTCGGGGACCGGGTCAGAACGTGTACCGAGGAAGAGAGATGGTCCTCGACTTTCACTTCTTGCGAGCCGCGTAATTGTTCGGTTGAGGAACATCCAATTTTTAAATTTTTCAAGAAACTGGGAAACGAAACCGCCTTGGAGAACAGCAACACAGACGTGATATTATTCGAATTAGACGAGACACGGTACAGTAAAGAAAACGTTACGCACCAATACAAAGATTTCGACATTTTCGTCGAAAGAAATAGTTATAAACGACGAATAGTTTTAACGTGTCGAAATGGCGCACAGATGAACCTCCAGAAATTAATCGCCAACGAGACGATTTCAAATATAACATGGACGTGCAATAAGATCGCAAAATGGGAAGTTTCAAATTTGTCGCTGAAAGAATCTATCCTCGAACAGCTACTGAATGATTCGACAGACATCTGCGATAGATCGTGTGCACCTCCGCAAGTGAGTTTTCTGAAAACACCAATAGATAATATCAGTATCGACAGGAAAGAATAAAAAATTAACTAATATCCATTTCTACGAATGCAGATTAACTTACTCTTTATTTTTTTTAACTCTTAAAAAAGGATAAAAAATAAGTTAAACTGAGATTTAAATTAATCTACATTGGAAGAAACGGGCACAAGTGTTCTAAGTTAAAAATAATAATACAAGGAAATACATCCCAGATAACATTTATGTTATATAAGATATCTAAAAGACGTTTTAGATATCTTTTAGACATAAGACATCTAAAAAACGTCTTTTAGATATTTCATGCAACATAAATGTTATCTGGGATACGATCTATCTTTTCGTACAATATTTTCAAGCTTTGCATATTTTCAGGATAAAATTCCAATTAATTTCAGATACCGGAGTACGGGTATATCGATAATGGCAACAACACTAACAGCGTTAATAATCGCAGGACGATCAACAGCGTCATCATTTTTAAGTGCCGTCACGGATACATTCTTGAGGGTGCCGAGCAATCTATTTGTTTATCGGACGCAAGATGGTCCGCTTTGCCATCCTGCAAACGTATGTTCTTTCTTTTTAAGTCATCTACAAAGGCTCTAATGTCTATTTTCATCAATAGCAGTTCAACTTTAGCCTCGGTTCAACTAACTCTTCATTTTTTCTGATTCTAAGAATTAGAAAAAGATGAAGAGAAGTCGAACCGATGTAAAATTTAATCTACATTGATGGAAACGGGTATTAGACATCTCTAAGTTCACATGTTGAACATTTCTAGCTGTGACATGCGGAAAACCGCCGATTCTCGCTAACGCAATGCTGAAGAGTGACGTAGACGAAACTCAGAATTACACTTTCGGCAATATGATCTCTTATCAGTGTGTCCCGGGCTATCGTGTATTCGGGCAGGCAAGTCTAAGATGTTTAGGAAGCGGGAAATGGTCCAGATTGAATGGCAGATGCTCCAGTATGTATATGTAAAAAAATTACAAACTTGTCATTAGGAAACTATATAATACCTAAATCGCATTATTATCGCCTGTAGAAATATCGTGTGGCAAACCACAGATCCAGCACGGAATCGCGCTCTACGGTCGTTCATACTTGTTTCAAGATCAATTAACATATATATGTCTCGATGGTGAGAAGAGGGGGATGATTACGTGTCAAGCCGATGGGAAGTGGAACGAGTTGCCAAAATGTGACGGAAGTAGGAACGTGTAATTCAAAATGGCCAAGAAGGATTTAGTACAATGCCTCGTAGAGAAAGAAAAAGAGAAGAATCTCCACCTTTGTAACAACACACATGCTTTTTTTTTATTTGTTTGACTTCTTGTATCAAGACTCATGAATGTAATATAGAAAACGTAATTACGCAGTCTTATCATGAAATAAATAATTCAGTTTTGGAATTTTCGGAGTAGTACATTCGGATATGCGACAATACCTTATCTACAATTATTTATGCGCGATTTATCGTAATCTTTAATTTTAGGATATTGTACTTCGAGTACATATTATACACTTTTATCGTCTCTTTTTTTTGTTTCTTTTTACTGGAAAAGTTGGTGTATATCGATACAAATAATTCTTATCTCAAAAATTGGCATTGTTAAGCCTGCACGTTCAAGTAAGACAGTTTATACTGGCCATGAGAGATATTTCATAAGTTCAGTTGTACATTTTGTTCGTATTTCGTGCGTACGGATAACGAAAAGAAATCTAATTTTGTAAGAATGTACAACGGTGTTGTGGCTAAAGTATCTCTTACACACATTGTTTGACACCGTATTTATGTTTTGGTACGAAGTATTGTTCGAACATACCGTACAAACGTATTTGCATATTACTACACTACCTGAGGAAGAGCAATAAAGATAAATACTGTGTGAAAATAATTTCTCGTATATAAACGACGTATATTAATTTATATCTAATGATGTCATAAAAATGGAGCACCTTCGATAAAATAGATCCATTAGCATGGCTACCTTAAGGAAAAATCAGATTACTCTAACACATATGTCCTTCGAAATTATTGAGATATAAAAATGTTGCATAACAAAATTTGCCCATTATCTTGTTTGTCTCATGCTAATTCTCATTTAAACTCTACTCCATTTAATGGAAACTAAATGTCTTAGTTCGTAAGACTGTCATTAAAGACAAACTTTTTCAGAACATAGCTATACGTGAATCGTATATTGACACGGATAATACATATCCTAAATGCTGTAAACAATTCCTCCGTAGAAGAAACAGAATTTTTAGCCATCCTAACTTAATTGCTTGTCTAAATTAAGGATAATCCTTCAAAGCTCCGTCTTCGAGCTGCTGCTAAAGTACTTGGGTTTGAGCTCCTCAATCCGCTTGATAAAGTCCGTCTTCTCTATACAACCATCACACGTCTCTTCCCAATCATTCAAAATCTTCTTTAAATCACGTACTTTCAACTTCTTCAGATTTACCGTATTGAGGTCGATTTGTTTTTCTGAAACAAAAATAGCAACATAACATTAACAAAATATTCGACCTTGCAACAAGAATGATGAGAGTGCACAAATGTCATACATACCGAATCTCAAATCGCATATTTGAGCATCTCTCTTCTTTAATTTCTCGCATATCTTGTCTGCAGGCATAGACCATGATAGTGGTTTACTCAGCTCACCCAAGATACCAGTAGCAGATTCTTCTAATCCACCTAAATAATAACACTAGAAGCACATACAACAGTTGCGATTATTTTAAACAATTGACCGAGGGGGGTAATCTGTATTTATTTTGTCCACAGGCTCATACTCACAAATCTATTTTCTTTTGATTTAGTGCCTTTACAGAATTCTCGAAACTTGTCTTCAATCTTCTTGGGGTTACTTTTAATATCTGCCGTTAGTGTTTGACTAAATTTGTCCACAACAGCAACACATACTATAAAATTAGATAAAGAATGTCATAAACAATATGTATAAACTTTATATATAAAGACAAATACAAATGTTAGAGAGATTCTCACCTTCGCAGTCACCTTCTTTTAATGCTGTAACAGTACACACAATTCCGAGGAATACAGAAAGTATTAATGACATCGACGCATTCATCTTTCTGTTTTATTGAGTTCTGTTAATTAAAATTTTTTTTTAATCAATAAAATGTAAATATTTATACAAATGTTATTGTATAACCGTGTAAATCAAAAGGTCAGTCTTTTTAGCTGAACTTCCTGCATTATTTATCTATCCTCTTTTTTTTCTCCAACGCGAAAAGAAAAAGAGGCAAAATAAGCCATGTAGGAAGTTAAAAAACCTAAAGTTTCGATAACATATATATTTTCAATGTTTATCTGTTACAAAAAAGATAAGAGAAAGTCGATTAAAGCGATCTCTCGCCACGTTATAAATTTTTATTATTAACTCAAATTAATCGGTATTTAATTACAAATATTCTAATTCACGAAATCACAACATCCCTGTTACTCTGAGCGTTCTCGAAGACGCTAAAGGAAACGTTCCAAGCTTCCAATTTCACGAGATTCCTAGGTTTTGTGACTAACCGTCGCCGATGACAAAAGGACAAAGGGAGTTGCGAGAATACCGACGGGAAAAAAAGCGAGATGTCAAATGTTGACACGTAAGTGTCTCCGATGGACTAGATTTAAGGTTATTTCGCGCGGGCGCGTGCTACGTACCGTTGCGATCGGATTGAAAACTAGCGTATTCCCGGTGTGAGGCCTCCGTTGTTCGGTAGATGAGCGATGCGCGATGACTTTAATTCACACTTTCGACTCCTCGAAATATCCTGCGACACGTCCACCGCCGTCGTTCACCACCAAGCTCCGCGACTGTTCGCGACACGTTGGATTCTGTCAAAAACCCGGAATCCCAGCTGGCGCATGCCGATTGGTCGTGACGTCACTGCGGTCCGCGCGCGCCGATTGGTCGTGACGTCATCGCAATTCGCACGCGCCGTGCGATGTGAGTGAGAGGGGTCTATATTCGCGTTTCGTGCTGCACTCTGCTGCACTCTCGCATTTTCTGCACTCGAACTGGAACAGCTATTCGACCGGACCGGTTAGATGGAAAGAAAGGGCGGATAATTTGGAAAGAGACGGAAAGTTCAGCTCGAGAAACGGAAATCGTCGCGGAACTAAACGGAGCAGCCGGTTCTATTTACCTTGCGATCGCCATGTTTACTCCAATAAAGTTCTGTGAACGTTTATACCGAGGAAAACACAGATTTGTCACTCGACACGTAAAAAACGAAAGAGAGGTATCTTTTCCGCGGCATCCATGGGTGTCCGATGACGAAAAGTGACGGATTATCGCTGCGACGAGCTGGTTATTTGTCGTTACGCGGATGAACCGATATCGTAAGTTCGGCTAACCTCTCGAGGACGTCACGCAAAACGGACCGAGGTAATATCGCTATTGGAAATCTGCGCGAGCCTGTTTATAAGTATAATTGAAAAGAAAAACAATAAATGACAGAAGACGCGCGTTGCAGGTGGAATGGCGCCACGCAGGGAGGCGAGACCTAACCTCAATGCTGGCAGGTCTTCGAGGAGGAGCAACAAGGGCTGGCTGGAGAATTACGTGGAATGGCGACAACTCGTCGCTTTTCTCACCGACCCGAAAAAACTGTCATTGACGGTAAAACTGTTCGTCGTCCTGGAAATCGTCTTAAATGCAGTAATCATCCAGACAGTGCCATACACTGAAATCGATTGGAAGGCCTATATGCAAGAAGTTGAGGGTTTCCTGAACGGCACGTCAGACTACTCGAAACTGCGAGGTGATACTGGGCCACTGGTTTACCCTGCCGGCTTTGTCTATATCTTTTCCAGCCTCTATTACATAACTTCTCATGGCGTCAACGTAAGGATAGCACAGTACGTCTTCGCGGTGCTGTACGTGATCACGCTGATGCTAGTCTTCCGGATTTACGCACGGACCAAGAAAGTGCCGCCCTACGTTCTCATCTTGATGTGCTGCACTTCCTACAGAATACACTCGATATTCGTTTTGAGACTCTTCAATGATCCAGTGGCAATGGTGCTGCTATACGCATCTATCAATTCATTCTTGGACAATCGCTGGTACTTGGGTAGCGTGTTATATAGTCTTGCTGTGTCCATCAAGATGAACATACTGCTGTTTGCTCCAGCGCTTCTTGTCACTTACCTATGCGCGCTAGGAACGTTCAAAACACTGATACATTTGTCTATCTGCGCATTGATACAGCTGATTCTTGGTCTTCCATTCTTGCTAGAGAATCCGATTGCTTATATAAAGGGCGCTTTCAATTTGGGTAGAGTCTTCGAGTTCAGGTGGACTGTAAATTGGAGATTCTTACCAGAAGAGGTATTCGTGCATCCGTATTTTCACGTTTTTCTATTACTTCTGCATATGCTAACGCTGCTGTATTGCGCACCTATTTGGATCAGTTACATGAAGTCGTACGTGAAGTTAAAACATGTAGGAAAGGAACTGAAGCCTCAACTTCGTAAGAAAGAGAAGGTAGATATGTCTACTGTAAGTCAGTTATTTGTCTATCCTCTTTTTGTTGCGAATTTTATCGGCGTTATGTTTAGCAGATCGTTGCATTATCAATTCTATATATGGTACTATCATACATTACCGTACATCGCGTGGTGCACCGACTATAAGACTATCTTTAAATTGACCATTTTAGGCGTGATAGAATTGTGCTGGAACACGTATCCAAGCACGGTGTTCAGCAGCGCGGCGTTGCATTTATGCCACATAATTTTGCTATATGGCATCCTAAAAAATAGATCGAATAACGCAAAAGAGAAATGAAGGCTGCACACATGTATGACGCATTTTTATCTTAATTATATGTAAGGGTGAGATTTCATTTGTGCGTTAATGTCGTACGACAAATTTTTCGAGCCTGTTGATTGGCTATAGGATAGAGAGATCCAAGGACCTTTCTATCCTGCACACATTTATCGTACGACAAAAATGCACAAATAAAATCCCACCCTAAAGATGGAATCACACGATGCTCGATTCTTGAATGATAAGCATGCACGCATGCATGCACACATGCATGTTGCTATGCTTGCTTTGATGCATACAGTTTGGTGTTTGACAAATAACTATGAAATTAGCAATTGTTTCTTTTGATTGGTGCATGCAAGGAAATAAGCTATGAAGTAACCCATAATAAATATAAAAATCATGTATATGCAGCATGCAGCGTTCAATGCATGAACGAATTCTAGCATACATCAGAACAGGCATGACTGTATGCATGCTACCATTCAAAAAATCGAGCATCATGTGATTCCATCTTAATATATAAAGTTGAGTACATATTCATATCGTGTATCTTTCCATTTAATGTTACTTAATGTCCATCGTCCCGATATTATGTATCTAATTGTCCGTAACTTAATAGTTTGCATAATATTCTAGTCTGTATCTACAAACATGCGATTATGTATGTATATATACAATCACAGACTTATGTAAATAGACTGCTGACTCAATGTAATTTATACATGGGTAAATTCATACAATACTCACAAACAGGATGTGTGAGTGAGAGAACTCAAATATGTCGCTGCCCAGCGCTGTCTTCAAAGATAGAGGCGAAGTTAGCAGTCTACTTATAGAAGTCTGTGTGTACAATATACCTTTTGTATATTGAACGGAATAAATTATATTAAATCCATACATTTCTACACTCATCCATACACTGAAAGAAAAGATTGGCTGAATATGGCATAACATTTTTAATTGGCTGCTACAAGTCAATTAAAAATGCTATGCCGCATATTTTACCATTTAAATTGCTAAGCAGTCAATCTTTTCTTTCAGTGTAGAAATACCTAAATCATTTCCTTTCTGAGATAAGTGTGAAGACAATTTCAGCCAATTTGCAAGGACGACCATGTTTATCTGATAAATTATAGCTTGACCGAACTATAGCAAATCGAAATAAATTTGTTATAGTTTTATTTCTTTATTTGCAATGAAAAACTACATATTTATAAGGGGGGTCCCCTATTTGTGCAAAATAATACTTAAAAATATTGCTTAATTCACTTATAAATATAAAAAATATAATTATATCCGAGATAATCTTTGCAGATTAATATCAATATTCATTTGTAAAATGTAAAGCATTGTGTGTAGTAACTGTGATAGTCCGAAGTTTGATAAAAAATTATGTCAATAAGCGTGTTAATTAGATATTTAGATATTTCTACATCTATCTCAAATCTATGGTTACATCTCGTTTTTCAAACGCGTTTACGTCTTTACATATTGCGTAATAAAAAGCATATCATGTTATTTATGATTTTTCTTCATTATAGTGCTGCACGTATTAATGATATACTTTGCAAATCAAATTTAAAAGAAATATCGCGAAAATTCTTTTAGTATCTTATATCACTATAAAAAATTTGATTTGATATTTACAAATCCTTTTTATTTACAATTGCAACGAGTATTTACTTCGTAACAAGTTTTAATGTAATGAACGATAATTGCTATGTTGTATAAGTCAATGTATATCATACAGGAAGTGTAAAAAAACGAAAATGGAGCGATGATCAATGGGTAATATGTAATACTTACAGTGCTTACACAATTATTATCTGCGAACAAGTTCTACTCGTTGATATAAATCCTTATACACGATTGGGTTATTCGTGTCGTACGCATTTCTTGTCTTTAAAATATTAGGAGAACCAAGTAATTAATTATAAATTATAACATTTATGTACAATTTTTTTAATATGCAACCTTACATATATTTTATAAAAACGTTAAATTATATGTAAAAATCATTTAATAATTTAATAATTTTTATATAGGTACTTGTAAAGCAATGAAAATTAACTCGAGACACGAACGACTCGTCGTGTGTAATAAAGTCTGAAAAGTCATCGTGTGCACTAAGAATTAAATTTTCGCATGCAAGATAATTAATGCAAATTTTTTATTTAATATACAGTCACGAAACTAATTGTCCGGACACAGATATTGCAAGTTTATTTTTCGGTATCACCAAATAATATAATTTTGAAAGAATAATAATATTTAGAAGTGAGAACTCTTCCCGGTAAAAAATTTTTCATGCATAAATATGTAGAAATATGTATAAACATACATAAACACGCAGAAATATTCATAAACATGTATAATTATATATAAAATATGTCCATACATGTTCATACATTCTTCTTTCTTTTGTAAAATTACTTTTTAGTGTAATAAAAATAATAATAGTAATGTGAAAACATAAAATATAATTAAAGGCATAATTTTCCCATTGTTTGTTTTAAAAAAAAACAAGTTTGGAAAAATGTAAAAAAAATTACTCATACATAATTATGCATAATTTTACATATAATTATACATAAATAATTTTTTTACATTTCTTCAAACTTAATTTTTTCTAAAATAAATAGTGCGAAAATTATCTTTTTAATTATTTTTAATGTTTTCGTGTTATTATTTATATTACACTAAAAAGTAATTTTACAAAAAAAAGGATGTACGAACGTGTATAGACGTACATAATTATACATATTTATGAATATTTATGCGTGTTATGTATGTTTATACATATTTATATATGCATGAAAAATTGTTTACCGGGATTTTCAGTGATTTACTTTCATCTCTAATTTGTCAAAATTATATTTTTCGATACATATAGACTTAACCAACAAAACATAAAAATAATCGCGAAATTAATTGATCGGATAAACAAAAATAACAATGAAGAAAATATAATATTAAATAATATATTGAATTTTAATAAATATGAGACCACCCTAGCTTCAAAAACAGCATTTAAGTCCGTTTCCATCAACGCAGATCAACTTTAATCTCGGTTCAACTTACTCTTCGTCTTTTTCTAATCTTTAGAACTAGAAAAAGACAAAGAGTAAGTTGAACCGAGATTAAAGTTAATCTATATTGGTGGAAATGGGCATTAGTCTGCTTGAAATTGTTTCTACAAATTTTTTTCGGGTAACTTCAGGATTAATGTTTTCCCAAGCTTCCGGGATGACTTTTTCCAATTCTCCATGATTCCGAGAATTCGATTTTCGGACTTCTGACTTGAAAACTTGCCACAAATGCTCAATAGAAAAAACAAAAAGTTCAGTTGAAGAAACAAATCTAGAATTTATATAACATTGTAAATATAATCTGCAGCAAAAAAAACTTGCAAAAAATTGCAAAAAATTTTCCGAGAATTGCAAATTTTAATTCAAGCATAACATTTATTAAACTCGATAAAAAATTCTGATTAATTGTTTCATCAGGAACATATCGTTTTTTGATACATGTACATAAAATTATTTTATTGCATGAAAAAACGAAAATGACTTTACATTATTCAAACAGCACGCAGTTTTTCTAATCTAATTGTTTTCTATTTGTTTTCTTAAAAAACAGGAGTGTATTAGAGCCGTCGATATATCACGCAGGCGATCAAAGAAATCATATGAAGTTTACAGAAGGAGGCCGCGAGTTTTGCGACGCGAAGTGTGTCAAAGAGAGAATCGTCAATTCTCATCGGCCGCCCCACCGCCGTTTTCGCTCAGACGGCAAACCTTTTGCTCGGCCACGTGGACGAGGATACCGCTTTCTTTCCGTCGTGGGGGCGAGACATCCCATCGAATCAGTGGGAATACTGGTCGGCTCTGCCTCAGCCCTGACATTGAATGCGTTAATACGTAGTGCGTACCAATGCGTACGTGCATACGCGCGCGCGCGTAAGCGTCGCTTGATATAGCCCCCTAATTCCGACTATTCCGAGCAAAGCATCGATCGCGACCGCGCTTTCGCAAGCGGCAAGCAGTATAACGCCGGCAGTCATCAACGTAGTGTGAGGCAGGAAACTCATCGAAGTCGTTGCTCTTCCGGGGTATGTAACCTTGGTTGATATTTTCGTCTCTAACCAATCTGATCCGCTCTCAGCATCGTGTTCGCCGAGACCCAGTCGACCTTGTCCTTCGTTTCTTTCATTCGGGATCGGAGATATTGCTGTATGCACTTAAGACGTGATCAAATACGATCGTCGTTATCGAACAGTCGTCGCGCGCATGTTGTTGACGTTTCACTCCCCGAGACGAGAATATAACTGTCGCATCCCCGGTGAAGAACGGAGTTCGTCATTCGTCGCCGGATGATCGGGAGATCCGGAAGGAGAATCAGTTGCTGGTAAAGGTCGAGTTCAGGTGAGAAAGTGAGAAAGTATCGTGGTATGATCGCCTCGCGCATTGATGTATGAAACGTCGGAGAAAGCTGTATGTATCGCGATGAAATTATATGCAATTTAGGATGATCTGACGGATCTGCCCGGTCAGAATTAATTACTTTTTTTTTAAGTCGCGCCGGACGAAAATAAAATTAGATATATATAGAAATGATAAAGCAGCAATTTTAATTCATTCGAAGACTTTTGATTAATGCATTAGATTCTCTTATAGAAAATTAATGCTGAAAGATATTAATTAACTACTTATTAAGTAGCACACTATATACCTACTTTATAATTTCAATTTTCGTCCATCTGTCTGATTATCCATAAAAAATTAATGCGGAAAGATATTAATTAACTACTTATTAAGGGGAGAGGGAAGCCAGAATTTAGCCCCTTGATTTTTAATGTATACATAACTTTAAATATTGCAATTTAGTGCCATTTTCTGTTTAAAATACTTTCAATATAGGGTGTCCCGAAAGTTTTTGCCAATCGCTTTTGTGTAGATAGAGCGGACTAAACGCGAGTCGAAAAATCCTATTTTGCAATTTTCGCAATAGTTAACAAGATATTAATTACTAAAAATTGGTCTTGAATAATTTTTTACTCAAATACTATCAACTTTATAGAAAAGTTGCAAAAGACAAAAATAATTTGTTTTCTTCTCATAAAGTTCTGAGAATTTTTTCAGAATTTTTTAATACCGTATTTTCATGTGGATAAAAATAAGAAAATGTAGTACTAAAAAGATGATAAAAAATTCCGAAAAAATTCTTAGAGTTCTATGAGAGAAAAATTAATGATTTTTGTCTCTTGTAGTTTTTTTTTTTTTGTAAAGTTGATAATATTTGAGTAAAAAATTATTCAAGACCAATATTTAGCAATTTTTAGTAATTAATATCTTGTTAACTACCTATTGCGAAAATTGCAAAATGATAGAGGACTTTCCGACTCAGTTTAGTCCGCTCTATCTACACAAAAGCGATCGGCAAAAACTTTCGGGCACCCTGTAGATTAGGTTTAATCTCGGTTTAGCTTACTTTTTATTTTTTTAATTGTAAAAATTAGAAAAAAGCTAAAGTAAATGAAATTGAGATTAAAGTTAATCTACATTGATTAATTTTGGGTTAACTTACTCTTTATTTTTTTTAGTTCTAAGAACTAGAAAAGAATAAATAGTAAATTCAACCGAGGTTAATCTATATTGAAATGGACATTAATTATTTTCATTCTATTTTCGGAAAAATACTCAAAAATCTTTTATTTCCTTTTATATATGAATCAAATTAGTTGATAAAAATCAAAATCGACGAGATTTTCAGTACAGAGCAAATCAAACGGCCTAACTTTTTCAAATTCTGGTATTTTGCTGTATTACTTTATTACATTTGTTGCAACGGTTTATTTTGAGTATTAAAAATATTGTTGTTTAGTGCTTTTAGTACTTAAAATGAATAATTAATCATTATCTTTTAGTATTAAATTGGATAGTACTGAATTTCTATAAGGTTTATGTTAAAAATATAATATTATCACTGTGCACGTGATAAAAAATCTACAATGCGACAACAACGGTAGGACTTTGCTCCGTATGTAAAGATTTGATTTTTTTCTATGACGACGATCGCGATGAATACTGATTGGATGAATACTGGTTGCCAACGATCACACGATGAATAAATATTGTATGTTAATGTTTGCATTGCGTGTATGAAAAGGAAACACTACTTTTTACGTTTGTGTTTATCATTCTGTATTTCACAAAAGTATCTATGCATCTCTATATGATAGATACGTACGTAAAAGATAAGCGTGTACTTAAAAAAATAAAAACGTAACAAATGAAAAAAAAGAAGCATTAAATACTTGTTTTGCGTAAATATCGATTTTTATTAGATAATAGATATTTATGGAAGGATTATTGATCACGTGATTGATGTATTTTTGTTTACAATTAAGACTTATGGAATATATCATTTATATAAGAGCTTATCTCTCTGTCGCCTGACAGGAAATATATTACGTAAGATAATGAAATCTAAGCAGAGAGAAAAATATAGTAAAGATTAATATGCCTCAGACTTAAGATAATGTGTAGTATATACAGAATGTTTGGAAATTAGTGATAAGTTTTTCGCACAGGTGCAGAATGGACTAAACTGATTGTGAGAAGAAAAGTCCTCTACTATTTTGCAATTCTCGCAATAGTTAACAAGATATTAATTGCTAAAAATTGCCGAAAATTGGTCTTTAATAATTTTTTACTCAAATATTATCAACTTTACAGAAAAACTGCAAAAGACGAAAATTGTTAATTTTCTTCTCATAGAACTCTACGAATTTTTTATTGACTTTTTAGCACTGCATTTTCTCATTTTTATATACCAACAGAAAATACGGTATTAAAAAGTTCTGAAAAAATTCTTAGAGTTCTATGAGAAGAAAATAAACAATTTTCGTCTCTTGCAGTTTTTCTATAAAGTTGATAGTATTTGAGTAAAAAATTATCGAAGACCAATTTTCGGTAATTTTTAGTAATTAATATCTTGTTAACTATTACGAAAATTGCGAAATGGTAGAGGATTTTTCTTCTAAGATGTAAAGGTTCGAATGGCGGCGAATGAAGTTACCAATAATGTAATGGTTGATACGTCTGATATGATACGAGGTCATGGAAGCCAAATGGGCAATGACTGGCAGACTTCTTGCTGTCGTTACAACAATTACGCCAGGCGATAGTTTATTAAATTCGAATTTAACTTGTTAATATAATTCAGATGAAGTAATTTAAAATTCAATAATGGTTTTTTAAATCATTTATCTTGAGAGACAAAGTGTCAGATCATGTATCGCGTTTGATTGTTCAACCGCGATTAAATTAAGCAAATATAAATATATAATTGAGATAATATTTTAATCTTGGATTCAGAACCATCATATTACAAGAGAACCATTTCTGAGATGATACACATCAAGAAACAAAAATCAAGATTAAATAAGCAAAGTGACACTGATCGTTTACCAGAATTGTACTTGCCCCTATTTAACGAATAATCCCCTATTTAAAACTTCCTTCCTACTCCTTTAATTTTCCCCTTCTTAATTTTTCTAGCGAATATAAATATCGAAGGACAGAACACAGAGGAACGCAAAAATTCTGTTAACAAGTAAAGTTCTAGAAAGTTTCTTCCATCCTTAACAATTTAAAATTAAACTATAAAGACTGGAAAATTATCAGTGAATAATTCTAACTCCTATCACATACAAGCAAAAGTACGTTAAGTAATCGTTGTCACTATTTGTAATCATGATTGTATAAAAATCTCTATAATTATATAATTGTAAATTCTTATTAGAACTTGGAAATTCTTTACGACACGGGTATTAATTGCAATTAATATGTAACGGACAACATTAACGGTCACACAAATATCAACTATTTTATAAGAATTTTATACGATCTCATACATTCAACTTGTTATATTAAATGACCATCGTACATTATTATGGACTAAGATTTACTTTCTTATAATATTTAAATTGAATTTTTAATTTATTTAATTTCCGATTTTTAAAACTTGTATTTTAGAACATACTGATGAAGACCGAATATCGGCCGAAACGTATATAAATTTAAATTTGTAAAGATCATTTTAAATATATTTTTTACATCAATTTAAATATATTACAATAAATAACCGGCGTATTGTCTATATGCTCCTTTTTTAACTTTTACAAATATAAACAACCCATACAGCATAGATCATTTCAGCATTCCAGCAATATTACAGCAACATTGTAATGTTTAAGCAGTATCGCAGTAACATGTATTTCAAACGTTGTAATATTACTGCTAGCTTCTGTGCTGTATGAGAAGATTGAATTATCTGACACACATATGGTATTGCTTATATTTTAGAATGGCGCTAATCTGGTGGGAGAAGATATTTCTGTTGATAATAATACTGATCAGTTTGAGGATCCTCGTTAAGGTCGGAATTCTAACGTGGAAGAAACTGATCGCCCCGACTTTGGGATTTGGAATACATTTTCGAACACAGGGGAAATGGGCGGTAGTAACTGGTGCGACAGATGGTCTTGGGAAGGCATTCGCTAAGGCACTTGCCGAAGAAGGTATGGATATCGTCTTGGTCTCACGGTCCTTGTCCAAGTTGAAGGACGTTGCTACTGAGATCGAGCAGAAATATTGCGTGGAAACTCGTGTCGTGGAAGCTGATTTAACCGAAGGCCAAATAGTTTACGCGGAAATTGGCAAAGCAACGCAGGACTTGGAGGTAACAAATCTAATGTGATTCATTGTAAACGAACAAATTGATAGGAATATTTCACAGAGATGCATAAACAAAGAGATCGCTCTTCTTTAAAAAAAAATACGCAAAAAATGTAACAAATTAATTTAGGTTTTAATAAATAAGCCAATAAATAATAATAAAATTTTCAGAGCACAAGTTAACGTGTATAAAAAAAATTAAAAAATTTCTTTTGCTTAAAAATTTAAAAGATACTTTTTTTAATGAGAGAGAGAGAGAGAGAGAGAGAGAGAGAGAGAGAGAGAGAAAGCGAAAATAATTAAGAGATATTTTCCAATAGGTCGGTGTTCTTGTGAACAACGCTGGCGCAAGCTACGACCATCCTGAAATGTTCACGAATGTGTCGGAGGAAGTTCTCGCGAGAATACTGCAACTGAATGTGGCCGGAGTAACCGGGGTCGCAAGAGCGATTCTGCCCGGTATGCTGGAGCGAGGGAAAGGAGTACTCATCAACGTGAGTTCGACAGCCGCAGCTATACCCAGCCCGTATCTGTCCGTTTACGCCGCCAGTAAAGCGTACATCGACAAACTCAGCGCCGATTTGGCTACGGAAGTTGCGCCGAGAGGCATCACCGTTCAGTGTGTTCTACCTGGCCCGGTCGCCACGAAGATGTCCAAGATCAAGTAAGAATCTCTCACATAATGGACTCGCGCGGTTCCGAGCTCGAGAAGTTGTGAAATAATTTTAATTCTATTTTATTTTTCAATAATTACAGAACTTGAAATTTTCCTGACGTCGATTGTCGTCGCTTTATATCTTTTCTTTTCCGTAGGAGACCATCGTGGATGGCACCTAGCCCGGAGACGTTCGTCAAAGCGTCACTGAGAACAGTCGGCATCGAATCGCGCACGACCGGATATCCACCGCATTCTTTGATCATCGGCTTCATAAACGCATTGCGTTACACGTGTGAGACGGGCGCGGTGTGGCTGGTGGCCAAAACAATGCTTAATTTAAGGAGACGAGCCCTTTACAAGAAGAAACCCACAATAGTGCCGGAAGCCGCGGAGGGGGATACTTTATAGTTGGTCTCGCGCGTTTTGTAATTTTGTTTCCTCGTTAACGAATAGAGCACTAGTGGCATAGAAAAACGTTGCAGTGAGCAATAAGCAACTCGATCAATCACGGTTAAGGACGTAGGATAATAATGTTTATTTTCTTACTGCTTACGTTTTTCTATGTGCCATTTTTTAGCATAATGCGGCGTATTCCGTCAGTCGTCCTCGAATTGCTTTTTATTACTGCTTCGCATTTAGTTAAATCTTTTGATCGCTACTTTACATCCGAATCTATAATATATAAGTATCTGTTTCTCAAAGATTTCTCTCTCAAAAATAAATAGTTTTGCAGTTTTTTTCCTGCTGTCTACGACAAAGTAAATTCATAACGAAGAGGACAAGATTTTGTAAAGACGACTTTTCTAAATGGCATAAATCGGATAAAAAAATGCATATATGCATATCTACGCATAAAGTGCACTTAGAAATATGATTGTTATCTCATTTTAATTTTAAAAATCTATTCTACTCTAATACATCCATTTTTCTATAATATCAATTCATTTAAACAACATTTTTTATTACATATGCATCCTCCTTCCTGTAAAGGATATGCTGTAACGTTTCTCTCATGACATGGTAGTGTCCCTTTCTTAATATAAAAAGAGGATATTATATTAACTAAATTTCAAAAATATGACGGGAAACGTTACCGCGTATCCTGGCAATGAGAGAAAAAAAGATAAAAAATAGCCATTGAAATATTCTTCGCTGTTTTGATTGAAATATAATATAGCGCTAATTCTCTCTCAATAAAATGTTGATAGTCTATTAAAAGTGGAAAAAAAGGAATAACAGAGATAAAAGGACTCGAGGGAATAACATTCAAATTTTTGGAAAAAAAGAACGCTCATCTTTTATGTAAGCTTTCATTATCATTAATTAATGATAATGAAATCGTTGCTTTAAACTTCTTGTAAACTATATAATCTTTGAAAAAAACAGCCCGACATATTTTGTACCTACATATTTTCAGTGATTGCTAAAATAAAAAATAGTTACACATAACTGATAGATTTTTAATTGATATTAAGATAATGCGTAAAATTTTACAGAAAGCGTGATTCGAGTACACAAAACTCTTTCCATTGTTTAGTGGCAATGTTGCGTTCTCACATGCTGCAATATTGCAAGAAACATTACAGGAGATATAGAAAGATACATGCAAAAACTTTCAACAAAATTGTGGCAAGAATATGATCGAATCATTCACTAATTATAAGTTCCGAATGCCTTTCCTATTCCTAAATCTTTTTCCATTAAAAATTTCTCTAATCTCTTAAAAAATTTTTCTTTAAATCTACTGTGCTAAATTTCTCCTAAATCTTACAACTTATTACAATAATAAACCGTCGACCGGCTAAGATAAGAAAGTAATCGAGCGTTTAAGGACACACCTGCTATTTTTTTGGATTTGTTTCAGAAAATTCAATCTTCACGTAACAGATAGCAAATAAAACGAATTATCGACTTCAAACTTCGTACTAGGAGCTCATATTATTCTCTTTGATGTTTTCTCGTTTATTATGTAATTACCTATGCGTAATAATAGCGTATCTACGACTTGGCTCCATCGCGGCATTAATTTTTTTTGTCGCACTTTGCATTCCATTTGAATGTTTCTTTTATTTTTTTCTTTTATCCGACTCGAAACTTACGTTGTAGAAAAGACAACAAGCATAGAGAAACATGAGTAAGTAAAATGGATGTTTTTTTGAAATTTGCCGAAAAGAGTAGCCGCGATAAATCGCTCTGTTTTAACGAAATTATTTCAAGTAATAATACTTTTTTTATCAAGTCTCTCTTCGTATATTCAGTTTTATCATAATGTAGTTTAGTTCTAATCTCAGTTTAACTTATCTTTCATTCTAAGAATTAGAAAAAGATAAACAGTTAATTGAACTGAGATTAAAATTAAACTACATTTCGGTAGAAATAAATTAACATTAGAAAAAGATGAGTAAGTTAAACCGAGATTAAAGTTAATCTACACTGAAACGGACATAAATTGTGCCATTATGTTTTTTAATTTTTAAAACTAGAAAAAGATAAAAATAAGTTACACCGAGATTAAAACTAATCTATATTGATAAAAATAGTTATTAGAGCAAATTCGATCGAATTCCGATTAATCAGTGATTAATTCAACAGTAAAAAATTAATTTCATCTATTAACGAAATAATAGATATTCAATTAAATTTGATACATTAAGCGATTAATTGGTACGTTAATTACGATTAGCTCAATTATCACCGATTAGAATTAGACTAACGAAGGTTTATTCATCCTTGACCCTGTTCAAGAGAAAAAGAAATTCTTTTCGAATGATTAATCCTCTCTCTCTCCCTCTCTCTCTCTCCCTCTCTCTATTTATCTATCCATTTTTGTCTCGCATGCGCAAATCGTATCACACTGATCGCGCATTGCCCTCACGCACCGAAGCAATATGGCCGTCTGCACCCGCACGTTTCATGGTTAAATACTCGTGGATCTGCACGATACGAACGGAAAATCGCGTTGATCAAGGGTCCAGGTCGAATTCAACCGTGTCACAAGCGGATACTTAGTGGAAAGTCGGTCGAGCGAGCACGAGGCGAAACGAGTGAGAAAGCGGCGTGCGTCAAGTTCACGTTTCAGCGCGCCTAACCTCTCGAAGTAGGCGGCAAGTGTCTGTCATATTCAGCCTCGACTATCACTCCGGTTAGCGGTCGAGCGTCACACATCGACGAGGAGGAGAAATCCCGTTCACGTGCCCGTCGTTCACCCGTGTCTGCGTGTGTCTCGTTCCGCCGCGCCGATAACCGATGTCCGCTGGCATGTTCCGCACGACGACAGCGAGGCCGTTCAACCTTCGTTACATCCTCGCGTTCAACAAACCTTACGCGCTTTGTCGGAGGGAAAATAAACTGAAATAGTGTTTACCACAGCTGGACACGTGCGCGCGAATGCGAATCGGTCCGACACTAGCTTAAGTTTTGTTTTTATAAATATAGAGTAGCCTAGGTCGAATTGTATGTATATATTGCTGCACGCACTGCTACGTCACTCGTTTACATTTGTTGTCGCTATCGCTGAATATTGTAAACCGTAAGATACGTAAGTACGATACGTAACATATATATACATATATACAATATATATATGTGTGTATATTTGTACATACTTTGTTGAGCTACATTCTTCATCCTTCGTTGTCCTATCTGAGTAACGATGCGTTTTATCAGTGTTGAGAAGCTTAGCGAGATACAAAATGACGCCACACGTATCAGGAACATATGTATCCTGGCACACGTGGATCATGGAAAGACCACCCTGGCGGATTCTCTCGTTGCAAGTAATGGCATCATATCCAACAAACTGGCTGGCAAACTTAGATACCTGGATAGTAGACCAGATGAACAGATACGTGGGATCACAATGAAATCTAGTTCCATAACGCTCTATCATGTACACGACAAAATGGACCATGTGATAAACTTGATTGACTCTCCAGGGCATGTGGACTTCTCCTCTGAAGTTTCAACAGCAGTCAGACTGTCGGACGGAGCTGTCATCCTAGTTGATGTAGTGGAAGGCGTATGTCCCCAGACACGTAGCGCCTTATCTATAGCCTATGTCGAGGGTTTGAAACCTATTTTGGTACTTAATAAAGTTGACCGGTTAATCACGGAAATGAAATTGACGCCATTGGACGCTTACGTACGTTTGACACAAGTCTTGGAACAAGTAAATGCCATCATGGGAGAGCTATTTGCGAGCGATGTGATGGAACGTGAAGAACGCGAGGAAACGGTGGCATCTACGTGGGACAAGGTGAACGAAAGGGATCTAGCCGATTGGCAATCCGTATTGGAAGAGATAGATGATTCAAATTTATACTTCTCTCCGGAACAAGGAAACGTTCTTTTCACTAGTGCAATTGACGGCTGGGGATTTGGTATCAAGGAATTCGCTAAAATTTATTCGAACAAATTAGGATTCAGTGAAAAAGTTCTACGTAAAACATTGTGGGGGGATTTTTATATAAATAACAAAACGAAGAGGATCATGAAGGGGGCTCAGGAGAAGGCTAAAAAGCCACTTTTCGTTCAATTGATTTTGGATAATATCTGGGTGTTATACGAGACTATAGTGATACGAAGAGATAAAGATAAATTGCCGACTATAGCTGAAAAATTAAATATTAAATTGACAACGCGCGATTTGAGGCACACAGATCCAAAAGCACAGTTACAAGCCGTTTGCTCGCAATGGCTTCCCCTGGCACAAAATTGTCTCGATATGGTATGCGAGAAGGTTCCAGCACCGCATAATTTAACTCCCGAAAAAATTGAGCGATTGATAAGCGGAAACAACGACTTTTCTGCTTTGCCTCTTGAAACTCAGCAACTGAAAAGAGCATTCTTATCGTGTAATCCATCGTTGGAAGCACCGATTATCATATTCGTATCGAAAATGTTTCCAGTGGAGAAGGACATGCTGCCCGAGAACAGACCAAAGTCGCTAACTCCGGAAGAATTGGCACAAAGAAGAGAAATTGTTCGACAGAAGCATGCAGAGCGAATGGAGCAAAAAACTTGTACTGCCATTGAAAATCACGAAGATACCAAGGAAGATACGCCCGATACGATAGTCTCCAATAACATAAACCACGAGGATGTCACCGAGGATAAATCGGACGGCGCATTAGTAGCCTTCGCCAGAGTGTATTCAGGAACTATAAAGATTGGAGATGAGGTATTCGTTTTAGGACCAAAGCATAATCCCTCTATTGCTTTGGAACGCGAGAAAGCGGGTGAGAAGGTGGATCCTTCCCACGTGCTGAAGGATCTGAAGCCAGGCAGACATATTACGAAGGTGACTGTAAATAAATTGTACATTCTTATGGGAAGAGAGCTCGAGGCCGTAAATAAGGTACCAGCGGGTAATGTTTTCGGAATTGGTAACCTAGAAGAGCATGTTTTGAAGACCGCGACTCTTTCAACGACAATTGCTTGTCCTTCGTTCACAGAATTAACTTCTCTCGCAGTTCCTATATTGAGAGTAGCCCTGGAGCCGAAACATCCCAACGACTTGCCAAAGCTCATCAACGGTTTGAAACTATTGAACCAAGCGGATGCCTGCGCCATCGTTCACATACAAGAGACTGGTGAGATCGTCCTGAGCACCGCAGGTGAAGTTCATTTGGAAAGATGCCTGGAGGATCTCAAGCTGAGATACGCCAAAATCGATATTAACGTGTCTGACCCGATCGTGCCATTTCGCGAAACCGTAGTGCCACCTCCGAAACTCGACATGGTAAATGAGGCGATCGAGAAGAAGGCGACGGAAGTCAACCTTGAAGTCTGGACGTCAAATCGGCAATGTCGTCTTGAGATAGACACGAAACCTCTTCCGGAAAATATAACAAAATTATTAGAGAAAAATGCAAATCTGATAAAATTGTTGGATAGTTACTGCGACAGATACACAAAGGAGAATGGGGAGCACGAGGCTATTGCTGGCGAGAATCAACTTAACGAGAGATCGATGTCCGACAAGAAGCAAAAGGAAGCAAAAGTATTCAAGAACGAATTGGAGGCAGCTTTTCTCGAAGCGGGGTGGAAGGATAATGTAATGGATAAAATATGGTCATTTGGTCCACGAAAATGCGGGCCCAATATCTTATTGAACGAGACTGATTACACGCAGAAGAAATTCTGGGAGCAGCAAAACATGAATGTCGATTCCCGAGCAGCGTAAGTATTTCAAATAAAACAATGTTGATGCAAAAGCTTTTTATTGTACATATTTCGTTTGAAACCAACGTTCGAGAAACATAATTTATTAAATGTAAATTTATCGTAATGATAGATGTTATAACATATAATGCAAAAAATAAATATGAACGAGATACATACTTTGACTACTTCCTTGAAACTTATTTCGAATAATAATAACATATATCTATATTTGCTATATAAATTTTTCAGATACGATAATAGTATAGTCAATGGATTCCAACTTGCTACTCTGGCTGGTCCCTTATGCGAGGAGCCTATGATGGGCGTCTGCTTCGTGTTGAAGAAGTGGGAAATTTTTGAGACTCCACAAAGGTAAATATGCATTAATAATTAATAAATATTCGCATTGTAATAATTATTACATAAAAATAAATGTCTTGAATCGACATCTGCGACCAAGAAATACTCTTACAACAAAGTAAATATGTGCATTGCAACTGCTTGCTTTCTGGAAGATAAGTATATATATATGTATATATGTAAAAATATAAATATATATATATATATATATACACAGAATATCCCGAAATTTTTTACCAAGCGCTCTTGTGTAGATAGAGGACTAAATTAAATCGAAAAGTTTTCTACCACACACACATTTTGTAATTTTCACAATAGTTAACAAGATATTAATTACTAAAAATCGTTGAATATTAGTTTTCAATAATTTTTTACTTAAATGCTATCAACTTTACAGAAAAATAGCGAGAGACAAAAATTGTTCATTTTCTTCTCATAGCTCCAAGAATTTTTTCAAAATTTTTTATCAACTTTTTAGTATTGCATTTATTTATTTTTACCAACATGAGAAAATACGGTATTAAAAAATTCTGAAAAAACATTTTTTTAATTCTCAGAACTTTATAAAAAAAATTTGAAGACCAATATTCGGCAAATTTTAGTAATTAATATTTTATTAACTATTGCGAAAATTGCAAAATGGTAAAGAACTTTTCGACTTAGTTTAGTCCGCTCTATCTACACAAAAGCGATTGGCAAAAACTTTCGGGACACCCTGTATATAAATATATATAAATATATATAGAAGTCGTATTTGGCCGTGTTATTGAAGAATTTAGTAGACACTAAATACGCGAGTATAAAAAAAAGAATGATATAAGATGTATGAAATGTTGCAGCGATTCCGGTGGCCAGAGCCAGGGACACTTGGGTGGACAATTAATGTCGGCGTGTAAAGAGGCTTGTCGACGAATTTTCAGCCTGCGACACCCCCGACTGATGACGGCGATGTACAGCTGTAGCGTTTTAGTCAACTCCGATGTTCTCGGTGAGTAATTGTTAATGTATAATGATACTGAACTCTCACGTATTCGTATAATCTAGAATATCGTTAAATACGATCGAGCACGTACTACATCTCCGAGTTTTTGTTTAGTCACGTAGTTGCATATACGTGACTTAAAATATCTACAGCGATATTTTTCATTTTTTAATCGCGTCAAATTAATATCGTGACTCTTGAAAAAATGAACAAGTACCTTTGGAATATACAGTAATTAACATATTTTACTTCGTATTTTGGTAATGAGGAAAGAATGTAGATTTTTTTTAAGATCTGTCGAAAATTCAGGTGCCAAATATATTCCTATTCTTTTTTCTTTTTTAAGATTACGCGCAATCAGACAGCTCTTTACGTTTGAGTAGGCGGCGAAGCCGTTTGTCTTTCTCATTGCAATTTGTATATGTCGTGTGTAATTAATCGATGGCTAAAATTATAAATAATATAGAAATCATGAATAATAAATATGCTTAAAACGAGTAATTAATGTATGTAAAGATGAGAATACAAGTGACATAGACGATTTCGTCCTATCGTGTCTGTTAACCCTCGTGCGGACACGCTGATGTTTGCGTTTAAAAAGTTTCTAAAAGTTACCTTACCTTTGACTTGACTTTTTGTGATCAACAATTAATTGATGCAGATAGAGTAAAAATAATTCTTTGAACGAAAAATTACGTAGTATGAAATTAATAATAAATTAGTATGAGATTAATAATGAATTAATGTCAATTTACATTAATTTACATCATGATGTGCCCGTTCGAGGGTTACGGAAGCGTGAGAGTAATAAGAGGGAAATGGTAGGAAGATGAAGAGAGTTTGGACATGGGATTCGAATGGCTGGGAGAATTATAAATATAATAGCATTATAAATTAACGCGTAAATTCGTCGATGGCAGATACAGGATGGGACATCGCATCGCGAAACTATTCCCAGAGAGACGGCGTCGCCAATAACTGTCGCACCTTGTCCCAAGGGAAACGTGGTTTCTCTTCGTCTTCTGCGTGTTCTGTTTAACACATTGAACGTATGTTAGTTGTAATTCATCAGAGAAATCCGGAACAAACTTTTGAAAAAAATTAACGATATTAGAGTTTACAATGCTTACCAAAAACACTGCGCGAATATCGTAGCGGTCGTCCCCTTCTGTTTCCTTGTACGCACATCATTCCGTACACTCGAATACCCGGGACGCTGGCGTAAGTCGGTTGATCATGGCTCATAGGTCCCTCTGTGAAAAAAGACGAGATAGTAGTTGTATAAATTGCTGCTTTTGTCGAAATATTAAATTCGATGGATAAAGTCGATCTGTATCAGATTAGAAATTGAGATTGAGATTGTGAGACTGAATTTGACGAAAGAAGAAAGAAAACCAGTTTCTAGTTTAGTGAACTTTGCTTCGATTGATCAAGTTCAATCTCGATCTCAATCTCTAGTCTGATATGGATATAAAGCGTTTTCGTGATATACGGTTACCTAAAGGTTAAAGAAGACCGTTACCAAGAAATTCATGAATGAATTTCATATGAATTTCTTGATAACCTTTAATCTTTAGATAATCACAGATCAGAGTTGGGAAGTAACGCGTTACTTATAACACCGTTACTTTGTCGATCGTTACCTTTATATAATAATGATTTGGTAATGCAAATTTTTTTACGATAATGGTAACACCAGAGTTGGAAAAGTCTATCGTTACTTGTAACGAGTAATGTTACGCATTATTCGTTACTTATTATTTTTTAATAAGTAACGCATAATGATGACAAGTTACTTTTCCAAATGACTTCCAATCTTAGCACAACTTTAGCGTTAATTTTTAGTTAGTTAGCGTTACCGTCATAAAAAATTGCATTATCAAATTGTTTATTGTAAAAAGTAATGGAAGAGTAACGTTACATATTATGAAAACGCGGGCTTAAGAATTCAAGATCCTTGTTCATGTCATATTGAGTCTAAATTTGACGTGTTGATCTTCGAAATTAGATCGAATGTCTGTTTCTACTAATGTTGAACTAAGATCAACTTTAATCTCAGTTCAACTTACTCTTGATCTTTTTTTAATTCTTAGGACTAGAAAAGACGAAGAGTTAGTTGAACCAAGATTAAAATTAAATTGCGTCGGTAGAAACGGATTGTATTGATAAATCGAAAGTTTTCGGAGTTTTTCACTCACCGAGTATGTTTGTGTCGGGACATCGGCATATAACGAGATAGTGAGACTTTCCCGTACGCACGTTCTGCAACGCCAACAGGGACCAGTCCCGCGACGCTCTGCACTCTCGCATCTCGGCGACCGGCTCGCACGTTTTCACCAAGGTCAAGGCCTGAAATAAGCGTGGCCACAATAAGCGAGGTCGTATTTTATTTTTTGTACAGATTTCTTCCTTTCGGTTAGATAAACCGCACGTTACGTAATCCCGTTAGCACGAATACGTGTCGCGTTAGAACGGAGCTATCTTAACAGTTTAAGATGAAGCATTATCATGTCACTTGAGTGGGATGCGATTAGCGTGTCTGAGCAATCATTGATTATATTGATTATCTCGTCCATAAGTATCGTGCGGTTCGAGAACCTCTCTTTATTGCATAGCCGTAACGTTGCTGGTACGCTATGTTTTACGGTACGTTATAGTAATAAAGCCGCAGGAACGTAACGATCGAGATTGAAATTACGTGAAAGCGGTCTACGCGGGAGCAACTTACGGAAATACGAGGTGGATTGCGACGAATATTTTGGTTCGCTTCTAAAATCGTCTTTTCAAGCAGCGATTCGTCAGTGTGCAAGTCACGGTTAATACACCGAACGAAAGTGAACGAGTTTTTCTCACGGCAGGAAACTCGCGTTAAGAGCGCCTGAGAGAGCTCTTCTCTGAGAGAATCAGCAGCCGGTTGGTCATGCCATAGGAATGGCGCCATGCCTCGGTACCGTTTCCGTAATAGCTTAACGCTTGAAACGTTAAAATAAAACATCGTGCTAGAGGAACAGCAACTTTTAGTTTTGTAACTCGAACGGAAACTCCTCAATCGTTTATACACACGTTCGTTTTTATCCGTAATTTGCGAACGCGTCGACGAATAAACGACTATACCCATATGATTTCTTCTTTTTCTTACTGTGCAAAAACTGCTAAAAATATCTCGCAACCGCATATTTGTTAGATTTCGTACGATGTCCTCTTTTTTGTCTTAATAATGAGACTTGGACGAGAGAAGGATAATTGTTATATGCAATTAGAAAATTTATGTTAAATTTAACACATTTTATGTGTCTCGAACGATTCACTCAAATTTTTGTGTTAATTTAACACAACATGAATATGCTAAAAAGTAACAAACAGTAAACAGATTTTTTTTAAATGTGACATTGACAGAATTTGTAAACAAACTGTGAAGGCATATTTTTATAGTAAAATTAATATTTGTGTTAATTAACACGTATTTTTGTATTCATTTATCTTAAAATTTAAAACATATTTTATGTTATTTATTTACTTACCCCTAAATCGCGTTCTTGTGACATTGACAAATGTTGAATATCGATTTAACACAAAATATCTAAATAACAATCATATTAAATTAAATTAGTACTTGAATATGTTACAAATTTAATACAAAATGTTAACATAGATTTGAGTGGATCGTTTCTAACACAAATACAAAAATGTTATGCTGTATAGAAATAAATTTGTGAAATGACAAAATAGGATGATAAAACTCAACTCCTTCGATCATTCGAGGGAGTCTTCACTAACCTTGGTTCGCGGATCGGTCACCAGCTCGGTCGTGTGCAGGTCGTCGCTGTCCAAGGACGCACTACAAGGGTCCCGGTACCTTCCGGGACAGGCGCACAGCGGTTGCGTGAAGTTCAATCGAACGTAAACAGCATTGCACACCTGCTGAACGGCGCATTCCGGCAGCAAGTAGATATGCTGATTGTGCGGATAGTAGTGATATTTGGTCGGTTTTGCGAGCGCCGCGCTCGCTCCCTCCGGCAATCGTACCCCCGTCTGCAAAATGGTCGATAAAAGGCCTTGCACTTTGGCAATAACGCGTATAATAATATATCGCGCGATTTTACGAGGAATGGGCGTAACGCGTAACGACTTTCCGGGTATCGAGTAGTAATCCCGCAGATCCGATTTCGAGCGGAGCTCTATGATTAGATGAAGCCTCTTCCTAGAAAGTAACATCGCGCTCTTTCGTCGATTGACATAGCTGTAATCCGTGTTTGCTCAACTTCTCCCCCTCCTCCCGGTTTGCATCCTTCAATCACGAATAAACACGGTCTCGAGAGATTTTCTAGGAACGAGATGTTCTCTGGGAAATAGGAGCGATCTCTACGTGCCACGGATAACTTGGTCTGAAAAATGTTGTTTTCTCTTATTTCGACAGCGCATAAATTTGTACTCCGATCGCGAATGAATGCATCTTTACTTTACGGCAATTGCATGGTAAACGAGGCCCCACATTGCGCGTGGTATCTCATTAACAACGTTTCTGTGCCACGAGACGATTGTGCGTTCTTTTCACTTCTGCGAATTTGCACTTTCCCTTCATAATCCTGTTCATTAATTAATATGTAAATGAAGAAAGATTCGCACCTGTGACTCCAACTTCCACTTCGATATCCGGTCTCATGAAATGCTTATGCGAGAAAAATTCTGTCAAAAAGGGGCCATCAATATTTGTAACGTCACGGAAATTTTCCACCTGTCAATAATCGTTCCAAGCACAAAATGCATTTGTCTCAAAAAGTGACAAGTCGGCCTCGCGGGATGGGTCTGCGGTATTTATCTCGGGAGGGAAGTTACACGGTGCCAATCGCGTGATGAAAATTGTTAGAAAGGAGGCGAACTACGGAGAGGAATAAGGCATGCAAAAAAATGCGGAATGCTCGGAGTTGAGAGAGGAGACGAAAGAAAGGCCACAGCGCCAGGCAAGGTACGCTGTATCGATAGAGTACAAGATGGTCCGTGCGGATATCCATCGCTGGCCAACTTCCTGGAACGTGAGACTATGCGCCATCGACGATAGCCCTCTTTGCCTTCGCCTGGTCCCGCTCTTTTTTACGGCGTATCCGTTTATCTCGTTTACGTCGCTATCATCTCATCCCTACTCTCCAAAACTTTCAGAGACTCTGAGGAACGAATGAATAATTGCCCACTCAGAGTTCACGTAGGTTTTACCGCTCAGCCCTTCGGGGATTTGACGAGAGACCAAATATTAACGCGATAAGATGATTAGAGTGTCGGCGACACCGAGATTCTCTATGGGCCGAAGTCGTGCATAACGCATAATTCATAAGAAAATGAAACAATCAAAATCCCTCATTTCTTTCCTTTCCATGAAATAAAAAATTCTGAATTGTTTGATTTTCTTATGCTTTATACATTATGCGTTATGCAAAAGTCTGTGCTCCGGCTTTAAGGAGGTTGTAAGGATATAAAACACATATATTAATATTTGCTTTAAGCAAACTACATACATATGAAGGTTGTGTTCATAATATTCTGTTTTTATTGAGCAACACATTTTTATAGAACAATTTAAAATAAATGAAGGACTAAGAGCCAGTTATGTAATAAAGAAAGTATAATTTAACACATAAAAATGAAAAAATTACAAACGTTTCAACACCGATCGTATCATTCTCAATTTTACGGTAAATAAATTATAATTGTAAAATTATATTGGAAATATATGTAGTTTAATAATATTCTTCATGTCCTGTATTACAATATAATGTTGCAAGTTAATAACTTAAAATAGACAAACTCCTCATTGAAAATTCTCGGCAGTAATACCGTAATAATCTAAAAGTAACCGTTAACAAAAGAGAATTAAAGCTAAATGCGTAATAATTAACAATATATAAATATGAAAGTGTATCTTATTAAATAAAATGTTGAGAATATATGAATAAAAAAGGAGGTCCATATCGGTGGATCTCCTTTCATACAATAGATATTTCCTTAAGAATTGAAGCAAATTTGTAAATGAAATAAAAATGAACAAGTGATATCAACGACGTCGGATAACATAATATCAGGAAGGAAAACAACAAACCGCGAGAACAGAAGATGAGAGGAAGGGGGAGAAAGGACACAACTAGGAAGGGGAAAGAGAATGTATGATGTCAGAATACATATCAGATAATGAGTCCGTGTCATTTGGTCTGTTGATTCCACGCTTTTGCCTTTTAATTTCAGATATCAATCTCTTATTATATGAAGGCTCAATATCCAATATATCCACCTTATCCCATTTAAAATTATGATTCTCCTCCATACGATGGTTAGAAATCACAGAGAGATGGAGATTTAGATTTTTTATTAATATCCTTAATTTTTTATTAATATACTTTTAGATTATTACGGTATTACTGCCGAGAATTTTCAACGAGAAGTTTGTTATTAACTTGCAACATTATAATACAGGACATGAAGAATATCGTTAAACTATGTATATTTCCGATAATTTTACAATTATAATTTATTTGCTGCAACATTGAGAATGACCCGATTGGCGTCGAAACATTTGTAATTATTTTTATTTTTATGTGTTAAATTATATTTTCTTTGTCTCATAACTGGCTCTTAGCCCTTTATTTGTTTTAAATTGTTTTATACTTGTGGAGCCTTATTATTACTTATTACATTTTCATAGATTATTTATTTTATTTGATATTAGTTTTATTGTTATAAAAAAAAATTTTTTAAATAATAAAAATTTTAATTTTTTTATATAAATATTTTAAGTACTAAAAATGACTTGTGCACAGTTTTCATTGATTCACCAATTAGTTTATAACAAATAAATATTTTGTTTATTTACTGAACAATTAATGTCTGCATCTCAATGTAACTTTGTTAAGTGTATTACTCAATGTAAATATTTTTTAATTCATAAAGTACTTATACACACTGAAAAATATCATTCTATTGCCAAGAAAAGCAGTTATTCATTTTATCTTTCTTCTTTTGAGTAACGGTTACTTTCACAATAAAGAATATTTTCTCGCTAGTAGTCTTAAAATGTATTCATCCCAAGTTTTAGAAATACTTAATATCATATACTCAAAATAAGAATTTATTCTTTTGAAGTATATTATAAAATTTTATCGAAGAAAAGTCGGATTTAATTAACTTGAATATTTAATAATATATTGATGTAAGAAAATTTGTTTGGTCAGAAAAATTTGGTATATTTCTTTCAATTCTATACGACAGATTTAGGAAAAGCAAAACATAGTTTAGAAACAAGAAATTTTTTTTGAAGTAATTTATATTTTCCATTTAAATAAATATTTATTTTGGAACCAAATTGTGAATGTAACATGATGCAACATGACTTTTATATTGTTCCATAATAGTGTTTTTTCGTATAATATTTATCTTAATTATTTTGAATTAATAAATACCAGCGTATTATTTCGTTTCCACGTAACCTTATCAAATATTAATAATATGAAACTGTCATCATGAAATTAAGAATAGTTACAGTAGGAGATATACCGTTGGCAATGACTCGATCACAAGCGTGCGATTAGCTCAGCGTAAATGTATTAGGCTTACCGTTCTAAAGATCATAAGGTTCAAATCTTGTCGGCGATGCAATGCGTTTTTCAATAACTAATTGTAGTTAATAAGGCAGAATATGGGTATGCGAAACAGTAAAAATATAAATTAAACTGGAAAAATAAAAAGCAATAATAACAAAAGAATTATTTTTTTCGCTAGATATAACCGCAATTTTTTTATTACAAGTAAATATGAGATTTGATTTAAGAAAAGGAAGAATTCTTTTTATAAATCGAATTTTTGATTTAATTTAATATTCTTGAATAAAGTATTAAATTTTCTAGAATTCAGAGTATATTTTGAATAAATCGAATGCTTGTGACGAACTTATAATAGATTTACGGATATATGAACTTTTGAAATATTTGGAAGAAGTCATTATTACTTGCGACCAGTATATATTTTTCTGCGTGTATAAAAAATTGATCATTATTTTATAATACATTTTCATATATTTCTATTACAGTACAAATTTAAAAAATATTACTTTTTATTGAAAAAACTTTTGATCCAGATAGTCAACTGTCTCTAATTTTGTTGTATTACTTTTAAACGCAATTTAGAATGATCTGTAATGTTTTCAAGTAATTCTTAATATATTGCATTTTCCTTTCAATCTCCTTAACGTTTATTATTATATTATTAAAATTAATATTTCAAGATAATTTTACAACAGTTGTATTCTTCCTCGCGCAACTCCTTTATACGGTTTGACAAATTCAGAAAGTACTACACTCACAAGGGAATGTAAGGAGTGTGATCGTTAATCGGCACGGTTTTTAGTAAAGTCAGTGCTGTCCTTACGAGAAAAGGGTCAGGTATTTCTTGGTCTCTGGAATCGACCGTATCTTGCGGTAGAGCGTTCGGTCGAGCATGAATGAAGGGAAAAACCGCGACGGCGGTTCACGAAAGAACGCTGACAGGACGAAGATTCCACAGCTTCTCGTAGAAGCGTGTCCGAAATGCCCCGTTTCGAGCTTCCGATAGCGTCGCTCACGGTGTCAGTCACGGGTGAACGCGTTAATTGCGAATCATCAAGAACCTCGCGAACTTCGCCCATGTTCCCCTTCTTCCTTTCTTTTCTTTCTCTCATTTCCGAGCGAGATTGTCCGCGTTGCGATACAAACCGATTATAGGATGGTATTTATAGTCGGATCATACATTAAGATGTCATAAAGCGGCGTCTACAATGAGATTTTGAAGCGTAAAATTTAAGCTTAAGGCTCCTGAATAGTCACCGCAACCATATTGTGACGGTCAGAGGCAAGAAATGACATGTTCATTTTTATTACGTACTATTTATTAAATAAAAACAATGGTTAAAATAAAATGATGAGATTGCTTTAAAACATTGTAAAATTGGACAAAAACTATCCCTCCTGACAGTAAATGGTCGTAAAGTGATAAAAGATGTAAGTAAAAATAGG